GTTAATTTCATTAATTTCATTGTTTTTTCTCCACTGATTCTTTATTACTGTGCTTCTTCACTGCAGTTGGATTGAAGTGGGAAAATGAAAGCTGAATTCCAAGCATGAAAAAATACGAACTAGTCTTTGATGCAGCTCAACTTCGGCATTACAGCTGTTGAACTGTACTACACCTAACAAGTGGACGCCGTGGTCGAATTGGTCACCCTGTGAACGAAAACGCTTTCAACGACGTCGACGTCGCTGTGAGAGCGCGCTGAGAATCGGTGAGCGTAACATATCTTCAGAAAATCATGAGTGGTTGATGGTTTACGATGGGCAGCTGTGGTAGGATTCGGTAGCACAACTGCATGGGAAACGAGAGGGTGTAGTTGGATTCCCAATTGGAGCGAATAGTTTTGCCAGCATTCTTGCAAACAGCCACTCATACTGAAGACCGCACTTCAGTCTTCAGTGGTAAGAAAAGGCAGTCCACCGTTATCTGACTCGAATATTTTGGCGAAATGCGATTATCGAGCTTGAATAAGGAACAGGATCAACTGTGCGTTGCGCAGTTCTTAACGAGGGGATCGTATTTGAGTTTTTGCGGAGGAAGGAAGTCGTACTGAGATTCCCTCCTATAAGGCTCTTGGTGAGGGGCCGTATCGGGACCCTCTTGCTTCGCGAATTGGTCGAAATTAGAATAACGGATGGATGAACCTAATAAGAAACTGTACGTGTTATTATGCAGGTGAAGAGAAAAGCAAAAAACGTCGCATACTTCCAAAGATGAGGCCCGATATGAATCTGAAGCGTTGTTCTGAAAGCTCTCTCTGGTAATGGAGGGAGCATATTGCCAATCATTCCCTTAGTGGTCAGTCCCATCATTATTGAACGTTTTATAAGGCCACACCATGGAAGTTACAGTAGTAAAGGTTAGTGCGAAAAAGGGTAATTTACATCTCGAGCGTCACGAGCTTATTCCGTCCGCCTGAATCTGCAGTGCTTGCAGAGGGAATTGTAAAACCTTCTCAGAATTACGGGTCTCGGGTATTATTTTACATGCCCTTCAGCAGTGAAAGCAGATACTGACCCAACACCTACCTGCAACTTGAAAACACAACCGAGGATGAGTGAATGAATTTTCTTGATGGGTGGGAATGAGCCTCTCAAGGAGGTCGCAGCTCAAAAAACGCAACAATAGCGCTAGCGCTTTGCAAAGACCAAAGCTTCGAAAGCTTCCATTTTTTCTCTTCCGTAGCATGATGATGACGACGCTTTCGTACCCGCTACACACTCGCTTTTCCTTTCGCTTCCGTGCTCAGCCTCTTATTGAATTAGCTCGATTGAGTAAGGCCCCATCCTATTCACCCGAGCTTTGTCTCGTGGTGTGAAATCCACACAAAATTGTTCTTGAGATGTGCCTTAGCGGTTATGCAAACTATGGTATTTGGAATTTTGAGAATTTGAAAAATCCCCTATTTTGCAGACACGGTTTGTTTGGGAGAGAAAGTACAGAAACGAAAGTGCGATCAAACACAACTGCGACGATCTAATACGCCTGTAAATCCTATTAACACGACTCTGCCTGAATTCGTATGGGGCTCGTGGAGTGATTGGAACGAATGGGGAGTGTGTTCTTGCCCGGCAAACCGACGTCAAAGGTACATTCCATTTTGAAATAACATCAATTACAACATTTACAAACAAGTGGTAACTAACGTTCGCTCAAGGTTTCTAGCTCCTGATGTACCAGAACTGGAAACTTGTTGAATTTATAAAAAAGTTTACCAAGTAGATAAACGCGTAGCATAAATATGTGGCATGCACACTGGTGTGCAAAACTAAGGACGAAGCCTAAAGTGTCGCTAGTGACATGTTTTTTTGACGAGTTAACAAGCTCTATAAAATCTAAAAACACCAGCAGGGAGAACTATACCACTACAATATGATGTATTAGGTTGTCTCATAAGTAGTGTCGCTTTTTTCAAAACAAAAATTTTCTCTAAATCCTCAGGCTTTCACACCATATTATATACCATTCGAAAGAGAATCGTCTGCTCTACAAGATGCTATGTTCCTCTTCCACCTCTGTTCCAGGGTTTTCAAATTTTAGGTCTGCGAAATGGGAGGTCCAGCCGACAAAAATTGACCAAACCGACAACTAGCTCTAACTTTATTTTCCCTGGGGAGAAATCAATCAATGATGTACCCTCTACTTACTCATGACCTCTTCTGAACATTCCACTCTTAGGTTGCCGAAAAAGCTTTGCCGTGTTTCTTTTCGAATTGGCTGACCGATGAGCCATAGCAATTTTCAAATTAAAATTGTTCCTCGTAAACGCCATTGTTTCATACCAAGTGGTGTTCCTTTTAGGAGCACTTCTTCTGCTCTCATCCCTGATTTGTTTTGTTCTTATGTTTGTTGGGAATTAGTTCGAATTTTAGGTGTTTAGCAATAAGGTGTTTTATCCACGAAAGTGACCGCATTTCTTTGAAAAAAATTATTCCTGAGAAGATGAGAAAATCAACCAGGCGTACATTCCTAACTTAGTCATGACTTGTTCTTTGAAATTCTACTAGTTTTTCAATGTCTCGGCTATAAAAAAATTTTGACCTAGATCTCAGGTAATGGTGCTCGACCGTCGAGTTCTGGTTGAAAAACCAGGTCTGGAAATGGAACGACGCGACTTGTTGGGAAACCTAATAGTGTAATGTTTAGAAGAGGTCATGTGTAAGTAGAGGGTACATCATTGATTGATTTCTCCCAAGGGAAGATAAAGTTAGAGATAGTTGTCGGTTTGGTCAATTCTTGTCGGCTGGACCTCCCATTCCGCAGGCCTAAAAATTCAAAACTGTGGAACATAGGTAAAAGGGAAACATAACATCTTGTAGAGCAGATAATTCTCTTTCGAATGGTATATAACACGATGTAAAAGCATCAGGATTCAGGTGAAATTTTTTTGGTTTAAAAAAAGCGACACTACTTATGAGACAACCTAATATATGACAAGGAACGTCAAAAGAGCGCAAAGCTATCAATAAGTTAGGTAACTTTATCTATCTCGTCCTTACGTTTTGCACACAAGCGTAATTGCTGCCAGGGGTACACCACACCCTCCGATCCCCTCCCATAGACAGAACCAACTTGTTAAAGCATCCAGCATCAATCAATCCTTTAGAGATAAGCCATGAGTTTCACTTCCATTTAGAATCGTAGGGCATTTGTGTATTATTTGGCTTGCACAATGACTTCGGGGCTAATCGAGCACAACTGTGTTTTTATTTTCTAGGCCAGGTACAAGAGATTGACCACGAAAAAAGGAAAGGCCCGTTTTAACGTTTGGGGTATTATGCGATTCGGGATACACTTCGTTATCTGTTGCAGTTCAATTACCCATGCATCACTTACAACTCCAAATAGAAATTGCGACCTTTTGAAAATACAACTCCAAATAGAAATTGCGACCCTTTTGAAAAGATAAATAACATTTCAGAATTCGCCACTGCATTGGTCTGGCCTGTTCATGGATGCGAAGTGGGGTACAGCGATTGTGAACGACCGTGTGTTACGGAGAGGTGGTGGAGTGATTGGAGCGAATGGGTCCGAGGTGAGAATGGTTTACCCGCTGGGTAGCATCTCAGGGAGCTACTATCGCAAGATGCGGGGGCACTGTGGTGCACTTTGAACCGCGTAGATTATCTCCTTTTTGTTGTAAGGGCTTAGGCAGGGGAGCAGGACTCTAGGATTGTTTTAACTTTTCACTTTTCTCGGAGTTCCTGCACCTTTCCAAAAGATTGCACGTTCTTGCGATGGGGCTGTTCTAGTGATACAGCAGTGCACTCAAGAAGTCACTACTTAGAACGGCTTCTTGAGCTGTTTACTTCTTGTTAAATTCTAAATATCGGATTTCCAAAACATGCTGAACATTTGATTTCATTGGGAATTCTATTTCTGATCATGAGCAATTTTAGGAAGCATCTGTTTACTACACTCATTCTACCAAACTTTTAGCATTATTTGCCAGTTCTTGACGTTTTAGGCGCGTCCAATGTATTCGATTTCGATTCTGGTGTCCTCAGCGTCGATGGGTCTTCACTCACTGGCGTTACAGCCTCAATGAAACAACTCCTGGCTGTTGAAGATTTGAGTCAGCAGACTTACAGATTAGCTCCGAAAAATAATAAAGGATAAAGGATAAAGCATTTGCCGTTGATCAATCCCTTTTTGGGATGCGGCACGCATTCTACTTCCATTTGTACATTCGTAGTGGCGTTTGAATGCGATGTGGCCTATACAATGACTTGCGGGGCCAGCCGATGTACAAGTCAGTGTTTTTATCCTCCCAGACAAGTCTGGTACCAATTAACCGACCCCGGAGGGATGGAAGGCTTGGTTGGCCCGGGCGACTCACGACCCAGGATTTGATCCCCGGACCGCTCGCGTGGTAAGCGCGCCACTTGTCACTACACCACTTCCGCCCCCAAAAACTATATATCTTCAGTAATCCATAACCAGAGTCGAATGGAAATGGAAGGTATAGAGGGAAAGTTTCCGCTGTTTTTGGTCACTCACTTTTGAACGCTTTCATTCTGAATAAACTTCGGCAGAAGTGTAGTATTTTTATATCAATAGAAAGCGGTTTTCTCGCTCTATAAATCCTTATGTACTCGACCCTAGGTATTCATGTCTACATTTTTGAACTCTTAAATGCAACATACTCAACAGGGTGTATTGCACAAGTTTCTTGTTTTTCCTCAAATTTTGTCGAAGAAGTGCGGAAGGAAGGCAGGATATCAACTGAGCATTTGGGCTGTCGAACCCCCCCCCCAAAGCAAAAAAAATTTCGCCTGTGTAATTCGCGAATTATAATGTCTTTCTCGCGTATGCAAAGGCTTTGGAAAAGCTAGGGGTGGATTGGTCGGAATCGGAGGACCGACAATATGAAGCCGAGGGTTTTGATCAACTTAAATCTTGCATGGAAATGTTGGACAGGCGCTCCTATTGGGCGGTAACTGAGAAGGGTTTCTTGATAAAACGTGTATAAGGTTACGTGAAAGAAGGGGACAAGTGGTGCCAACGATGTCTTTCCTTCGCAGTTGCGGCAGTCAGGTCGCACTTGCAGAGCACTGCACAAAATGAACTAGCTGAACTACAAACTGTGCTGCGACCATCTTGCACAGTAGACCTCTTGCCTACCAACTGCCACTTTTCCAGCCATCTGGATAGTCTTTTCAAAGAGATCAAACGTTGAAACCCAACATGATGGTTAAATGACCTTCCGCTGATTTTTCGCCTACAGAGCTCCAGCTTTTTCACCTTTCAATCTACTTTCCTTTCTTGTAGGTATTTACATAGGAATCACAACAATTTTTATTTCGACCAAAAACAATTTTAGTTTGAGCCGAGATATGCGTTTTTGAACTTGAAGGTCAAAGACACATATCTCGACCAACTTGAGGGTCAAAATCCAAAGAAGACATTCGAAAAGGCACAATCTAACGAATAAAAAAGAACTAGAGGCCGCTGGACGCGCACTCCTCCTCTGGATGGTCCAAGAAAAACCCCTTCGAATTTTGCTGCTGTCTATATGACCTTATAAAAACCTTCTGTTCCATTGACAGTAAGCGCTTCGAATGCCAGTCACACACCACAGTTTACGGACACTCTTCACGAGCATGTATTTCTGCCATGGGAATGATTAATCCTGGTTGACAGTTGTGATTCTATCAGTTGCTCTGCTAATCACAACCTAATATCAACTATCCCTTGTGAATCAATACTTACCAAATTTACTTGAACGCCTTCGTCACTTATGGTGTGTGCTCTGCATTCGGCGCGCTTCCGGTTTTCTCAAACAGAGAGTATAAGACCTCTGGACTGCATTATTAGCAATTTTCATTATTACATGCACGCATATGTCAAAAAAACGTCCTTTCAATCCTGGTTGCAAAATAAATAAAAATCAAGTAGGTTTCCCAGCTATCCTCGGCTGGGAGGCCGCACCATATTGTCTCAGACTCCCTAACCACCCCTTTCTTCCCTCTACCCAAATGGTTACGGGAACAATTCACAGCGGTGTCATATCAACCCACTACGAGAAATAACGTTTAAATTATGAGTGTCTGTTTCCCTCGTAATAACTTCGTATAGCATACAGATTGGCTGCCAAAAACACCTCCACGAAAAAGCATTGTGGGACCACGCCCGTTGCTAGTTAAAAAGTGTTTGTGAATCCCTTCGGGAAGTTCCTTAAACTGGACGAAGAGTACTATAAACAGTCTGGGTTTTATGCCTGGCTAGATAGATGCAAGCGCGCTTGGCTAAATAGTCGTGCACAAGTGGCTCGTCAACGGAAGATGCAAGATTCGACTCTAGCGAGGCGCGAAGAGTTTTCGCGCTTAGTAACACAGCGTCCTTGAGGTAACTACAGCTTACCCATAATTGCAGGCCAATGGAGTGATTGGAAAATCAGGCCTGGTGTTGCCTTCCGGTATCGGCTGCCGCCAGAGGTTTCGTTGCTGGATTCAGAGGCAGCAATAGATATTCAGTATCAACTCCTTATCAGTGCTTCATCCACTCGTGTCACTCTGTCATTTTGTTTATACCTAGGTGCGCTGACGATGATTTCAGGCTTCTTTGCTCAGTGTCTAATATCTAAGCTGTTCGCCTCGTGCCGTACCTCCAAAACATTCTTATAGCATTTACAAGAGTATGTCTTCAAATATTGAACACATAAAGTTTAAGAATTTCATTATTTATTTGAGATCAAGAGCCGATACGTCACTTATGTCGATTCACATCATCCCAGTCCATTGTCATCATGATGGTGTCGGCTGTTCTGAAAATGACTCAAAATCCATAGCTTCAAAACAAGATAGAAAAGCTAAGAGCTGACGATAAACACTTCGTTCAACAGAACCCTGGAAACACTTCCTGAATCGCGGTGCTAGCTCGATTGTGGTTTGTTACGGAAGAGTTAATGAACACCACTTTTATGTTTCGTTTCTACGTGACCATGAGCTCATTAAACACCTGGTATTACATCTAACAAACCGCCCACGTCGACTGTTAAAAGCACATTCCACGATTAATTAGTAGAAAAATCTCTCAGATGTTATATTAGAAGGTACGCTCACTATGAGCTGTGGCCGAATTTGCGAGCCTGGAGAGTGCGTGGCCAAAGGCCTCTCTAGGATGCCCACATACCACTCGCCTTCAAATGACAGAATTGTGCAATTGCCCAGAAATTGACGTGGAATTTGCGGCAAGTGGGCTCAATTCTCGCATAAAAGGTGAATAATTTTTGGCTCCAAATAGTTCGCTTGAAGTGTATACGAAGTTTAAAAGGAATCTTCCACGGAAAAAGCTCCGCCCTCATTACCACAGAAAACGATACCTTAAAGGAATCTTCCACGGAAAGAGTGATCATTTTGTCTTGTGTGTAGGATTAGTATTATCGAAACTAACGCTTATGTTCCGTTCTTTTTGCTATGCTCATGAGGCTAGGGGCCTAAGGTATCGTTTTCTGTGGTAATGGAGGCGGAGCTTTTTCCGCGGAAGACTCCTTCAAAGCAACGTCAATTTCTGACAGTTGCACATTTCTGGTCATTTGGAAGGCGATGGTGGTTATATTCTGTTCTAAAAACAGATGGCGCGGTCGAGTGGCAGACCTTACAACACAAGAGATGAAAGGACTTCAATTGAATTTCTTGATACTGTGTTCCTGCAGCGGTAGGTTTGTGTGTGATCTGCACTCGAGTACGTGGTTTTCAGAGATTGAGGGTCGACGTCAGACGAGTGATTGTAGGAGCTCTCAGGCCCTGTTCAGAGATGCCGCTTACGCGAAAAAAAACGCAGAGGCGAAATGAAACGAAATCTCCGCCAAGATTTAGATACGCATCGACTGAGAAATTGTGAAACGCGTAAGCGAAACGTCCGGAGCAGGCGAATTTCAGTCAAGAGTTTGATATGTATCGACTGTGAGAAACGCACGGGCGGAAAATCGCGTGAGCGAAACGTTCGGAAGTCGATGCGTATGACACTCATTTTCGTCGATCCTCCCACTTCACGATTCTCCTGTGCGTCGTCGCTCAGTCGATACATATTTTATTTTATTTCGCCTTTGCGTTTTTTCGCCTAAGCGGACATCTCTGAACGGGGCCTCACGTTCTCCGCGTTGCTTGGCTCTCTGCTATCTCGCCGTATGCGATCTTGAGTGGGTCCTTCTCTTGTTTCCATTCAGAAACATTAAGCAAATCCTTGGTTGAAAGCAGAAGATGAATCGCCAGTAAAATGGTTGAGCAGCTTCGTCGTGAAATCGGGCGGTGGCGCATTTCCATTCTTGCTGACACAGTTGTATTTGACGCCAAAGGCGATATGGGCTGAGGTTTGCCAACCCTACTGCAAGTTACATTCTGTGTGCGTGTAGCTCGGCACCTTTTGTTACTGTTTTTCCAATCGTTTCGAAATTTGTTTGAATTTCACTATTGGTGATTGCATGCACAGTGGTTTTCGGAATGAATAATTGCATAGCACATGTTCTGAACATGGAAAAATGGTAGATTAAATTTTCGAAAAATACAAGCGAGCAATCGGGTGAAATTGGGACGCGCACCGCGGTCTCAACATGTCGTCATGTGTTATTTTGTGGGACCAACGGCACGGCATATAGACAACTTTATTGATAACGCTAACGAAATGCGCGTTTGAGCTGAGCCGAGCTCAAAGTATCTCGGCAGTGGGACATAACAACCAATTAAAGACTTCACAGCATTGGGAAAACGATAGCTGTGTTTTTAAAGGAGCGGAACAAAGCCATTTTTACGAAGTCTTCACGCAGCTTAATTAACTGTCCTTTAACCCATAACGGACGGCGTGCGCCACAAGGTGGCGCACGACTATTTCTTTTGTTTTTGGAATGTTTCTAGCAATCTTAATATACCCATATATACTCTCAGCAATGTGGAATAACATATCTTCCCAGGACCTGGACGGCTGGATTTTTGACAAACCTACAATAAATTTTACATACATTTTGTCTTAATTTACATAAGTTTACTATTTGATGGGTGGCTTACCCATGGTTCGCACGTCCCGAGACCCCTTCCCCTAAATATAGCCACATCCTTGCTCGGGGTTGTTGTTTCGCATTTTTCGATAATGTCACCTACAGCTTCCATTCATTCTTTGCACCCTAGTTTTAGAGCGGAAAGGCGGGCTACGAACTTGTCGTCAACGGAAATCTCTTTTTTCGGATGATGAGACTCCGACACCTACTTTAGCCCCGTCTTACCCCTGCTGTTCACATAAGCCTACATAAACCCTACCCTGGGTGGCGGCGTGCGCCACATGGTGGCGCACGCGAAAAAATACACTGGCCGTCCGTTATGGGTTAAAGGAAGGCGATTGCGATAAGGGAATTTTTGCATCGGGGGAACCTGCGCCACACGGAGCAATTACTTGGCTGCTAAGGAAGCAATTTGTGGCGCTTCCACGGCGAAAGGTGCTGTGGTTGCTGGGCAGCAGGACCTCCGCAGCGCTCCGCCCCCAGCAGCGTTACGCCCACAAGTTGACTTGTTGATTTGGACGAATTGTGTGACCAGTAGCGGCGCAAATGGAGTATCTTGATCGAAGCGTACTTTGGCATAGTTTCATCAAATTCGTTGCGGCGGAACTGCGTTCGACAGGCGTGCCTGCAAAACTTAGGGGACGAACGTAGCTTTTCCAACGACGTGTTTTACTGGCGCGTAACATGACTCTATGTAACCTAACCACACATACAAATAGCTGCCACAGGGCACTAAAGAAACCAGTTAATAAGAATCGTTAAACGGTCCACAAAGCTATCAGAAGGTTACGATTCTTCATATGTCTCGTCCTTAAGTTTTGCACACAGTTGTAGTCCTCTTTTCTTTAACTGTTAGCTGTTCACGAGTTGAAACCAATGGCCAAAAAAGAGGGTCCCGTTTTGTGTTTTCTTGACGGATTTTTCTGCTTTTTTCGCTGCTGGGGTACCATTGAACACCACCACGTCACACTAAACCCTTCTTGAATTTATCGTAACTACCTCTTTGATGTTG